TTAAAATATGTTCGTGTTTTTAGTTTATATCGCAAAAGTTCAAGCAGTTAGCATGGTTAGTTCAAGCAGTTAGCATGGTTAGAGCAAAACTTACCGAGTAAAAATATTCAACAGGCCAATGTCTATCTACCTTGCACTTTTCAGAAAATTCAGATCAGATGCCGAAACTTGGTCCAGCAAAATTTATCAGCAATACAAGATTTTGACCCACACAGTTTCCATTCAATACAAATATTCTTGATGCAATGCATCATTTTAAATGCAAAAATACCAGTTGCAGCCTTTAGTTTGTTTATTTATATATGTGTATAGATTATCGGGTTTTCTACACATTAATATCGTAAAATATCAACCGCGAGCCACAACGTGAACCTTTTTGGCGAGTGAGCGCAGCGAACGAGAGAAAAAGCTTCACATTGTGTCGAGCGGCAGATATTTTACGATATCTATACGAAGAAACCCCGATTATCTGTTTACCGTTCTATAACTGATCTTTTCCGCCTCCTTAAGACAGTTTTACGCTTGACGAAAGCAAGCTTGATAACGTCTCCTCTCACATTGTGACGTCGCTGATAACTTCTCCTCAGACATTGTGACGTCGCTGATAATGCCTGCTCTCGTCTCAAAGCCGTGATACGAGAATTACGGAGCGACTGGGCAGGGTGATATAGGCGTAGGGAAGGACGATAAATATGAATATATGAAGGGAAGCAGGGTTACCAGGGTGTGAAATCCATGTCATCTGAAATAAATACTATGCATAGATAGAAATCGACAGATAATAATGACATTTAAAAAAAATATTCTCTTGTATTCGAAGTTTTTGCAGTTTTGTATAAACAAACAGACACACAAAATGAATATAGTATTGTATCGAAACATTGGTAACACCGGTTACTAAGATAATAATCCTGTCACGTATGAATTGGGTAAAAAGATAGAAATGTGAAAGTTTACGGGCGGTAGGTGCAACAGGATACCGACAGCTCACATGGCTCGTCAGGGTGGGAGCTAAAAAGTGGATCAAAGTCCATGAAAATTTGATTTTAAACCTTTATTCATTCCAACAAATTATTGAGATTTTGTTGAGGTTTTACCATTTACGGCAACAAGAAAACGTTCAGAATTTAATGCAAAGAAGGTTAAGTCTTTCGCCAAAAATACTATCAATTTCTTCTTATTCTATGTTAACCTCCATGCAATCTCCATCCCTTTATGATCAATAAATTGAACTGTAAAATACTACTTAGTATCTTCCACATGCTTTTATAATGTCTGATGTATACATATTTATGACAATAACTGTTGTGAGCACAAGATTCACTGCACAGTTTTAAAGTTTTGCAAACACAAAAATTAAAAATGTAAACTTAAATTTTGTGAAATTTGTTTGATGTGTACCGATTGAGATTTTAATCTAAGAGAACATGGTTTATCTATTAGTTGAACTAGCTTTCAGTAGCTGCGAGTACTCGTGGTTCAATAATTTGTGTCTTTATGTTATTATTTTGTGTGCTTAGTGTTGTGTTGTTACACCACTGTGCCAATGAAGGAGGAAAGGAGGACGGGTGGGGTGGGGTGTGGAGCGCAAACAAACATGTTAAGCCCTGTCACGAGTGCCCAAAACCATTGGTTGTCGATGCCTGCTATCTGTCATGTTTGTTTTTTGTTCAAAGTTGTATCTTAAATCAGGCCGAAGGTCTTCATTTTTAATCGTTTACCGTGATTTTTATAGCTAGTATTCGTTATGGTTTTTGCTCGTTGTTGAAGGTCACACTTTGACTTGCAATTGTTCACATCTTGTTCCATTCTAGTAAGTTTTTATCAGTCATGTATGAAAAGCAAGTCTATGTCGTTTTTTTTTATCCAGTCGAAATGTATTGGAGACAGTGTATATATTAAGGAAGAAATTAGAGGCACCAGTAGCAAGATCATCTATCCTTGTATATTTAACTGAAATAAACCAGTCAAACGTTTATTGTCGTTATAATATACATGTCGCTTAACCTTAAGCACCTTTTAAAACTGTTTTAGTTAGCATATTATGTAGAGAATCATCAATTTTATTTTAAGGGCATTTAATATCTTAAATAAAACCATTCTAATTAGATATATTTTCATCTGATATTGGACGGAAGATTTTACCCTTTTATGTAATATAAGTTACGATTTTATGTAATATAAGTTACGATTATTTGAAAACGCTTATTAAACAGACAAATGGATGCACAAAAGTAAAAGTAGGAGTCACAAATCCGATTAAATACAATTATCTGCCCAATTTTATTGATTCTGTAACGTTTGTTTCAAATATAACCAACTGTTTACCCAAAATCACCAGCACCGTATCAGGACCCACCAGCACAATGACAGTACCCACCAGCACAGAATCAGGAAATGTCTAAACTGAGAAAATGCACAATTTTAATAAATTGCACAGGTTTCTCACAAAGTAATTTTGTCGTGTGGATTTGGGTATAGAAAGCGGACTCCAGGAGCATTTTTGTTTTATTTTTTCAGTTCTAGATTTTTTGAAAATGAGCACTTTTGTGTTACGCTTACTGAAACAGTTTAGAGGGTCACATTTGTAATTGTTTGCCTATGAACCCATAAGAAACAAAATTAAAACATCTCAACTGTTTCCTTCCATTTTTTATGCGAGAAAACGTCAAAATTCGTCATTTTCGTCTTTGTTTACATATTTCTAATGATCACCAGCACCAGTCAGGACCGAATCACAGAACGTTCTCTCGCAGGACAACCTTACCCACCGTGATTCAGGAAATAGAGAAGTGTAAATATATAATCATGGTTATGGGGTTATGGGGTTGTCTGTTCCCGAGTAGAATATTTCATCAGCTGTTTTCATTGTCTCCATATACTTTTCAGATACAAATTTAAATCGATCGCGACATTTTATTCACGTATATAAAGAAAGCATTTAAAAAAATATTGAAATAGGAGTGGGTTTCTTTTTGTTCGGATAAACTAAAGAAAATAATGATGTTGGTTTATATGAATACAATGAGATATGGTATAAACGTCAATGAGACATCAACACAACGACACAAATAACGAGAAGGTAAAGGTCAACATACCGTTTTTTGATGATAAGAAGGAGGCCATACAAATGTCATGTACAATTATGTCAAGCTCTAAAGACTTAATCATCCGGGTCTAAAATATTGTATATAAGGTTTACAATTCCTTCTTCTACCCGTCGATAAAATTTAGTTCACTTGACATTTGCTAAACGTCTTTTAGCCAAAGAATCTTGATCTCTTAGATACATTTAAAACATAAGATGTTTGATTCATTACATATTTGCAAAGTTGTTGTAGTTTGAAATTCAAACTACATTTTGATTTTTCTGCAGTTTGCATTTGTAAGTTTTAAATAAAATCATAATATAAGTTCAACATAGTTACAAAAGTCTAAAAGCGAAATATTTTTTCAATAGGCCTCCTTTTATAAATGGTTGAAACCAAATATATCATATCTTAATATTAATCTAAATCGTAGCTAATGTCCCTTTAATTTCAGATTTTGTGAAACTCATACTTATGTTTTTATACACAAATTGTAGAATGAAGCTACGATATATAAAACTGCCTATTTCGATGGCTTTATATCAATTTATATTTTGAAGATGCATACGCTTAAATTGAATTGAAAAAACATCCACGAGAGAATTAATTTGAATCTCCGTCTACAGCAACAGTATTTTCTGGGAAAACAAATTTGAAAAGTCTATAATATTACCGAGAGGAAAAAGTCGGGGATTACGGTACCTTTTACATTTTGACAAAGGAATTATGTCTGAAATAATATGAAATAAACGTTTTGAAAGACAAATATTTCGGAACAATGAATGGCATTCGTTGGTGTTATATCTTTATATTCTCGTGTCGCTGTACTTCAGTGATATTGGAAGTTTTTCCATATTGATAGAACTTTAGTATATAATTTTTATATGAATTAGATTTTGAATTAAACAACATATTCACCTGCTGAAAAAGTATATACACCCCGTAAAACGTCGCGTGCATTTACGTGTATAATTATGGTAAAATTGTTTGATGTACAATTGGTTCTGGTACATAATTGTCATTACATACGTCATGTTTTCTCTCGGAATACGGAATGAAACAATTACTGTCTTTTGCTTCGGTAAATCTGTATGGTATTCACTTTGGCTGTTGGCCTCAGTGAATACAAGTTTTTCAAAGGTCAATAAAACCATATATATTTACCTCATCAAAAGACAGTAATTATAATAATATTGTTTGTTTGCGTTTTATCCATGAAAATTTCGTTAAAAGGTAAATATTGAATTCATCAAAATATTTTGGCGCATGCCTACGTAAAAATAATGCCGGATATTTACAAGAGAGGTGTCTAAGTGACGTATTATCCAAACATAGTTAATTTCCCCCAATGCTTTCGTTTTCCGTGTTTCAATGGAGTACAGTGATGTTTGCAATGGTAGACTTATTCTTCATACTTGCAAGAATTATTTTAAGAAATTTTAATTTTAGAGTGTATTGAGTCTTATTATGCAGGCTTTAACTCACTGAAATAATAAAAAAACTAAAAATACTTAAATAAAAAATTGCTATTTTGTAATAATTAAGGTTTATAGAACAGCGACATCACACTCATCATACAAAAGTCACTGTTTTTACTTGGTCTATCAAGGTCTATCAATATCAGGCGTAAGCTCGGAATATTCTCACCCATTGCCTGTACTCCCTATAAAGTACAAAGTGATTGTTGAGTCAATATAAATTCAAAATTAAATTTATAATATATAATACATATGACATTAATAACAACAAGTACTTGTGAAAACGGAAACAATTGAATTAAATCATCCAATATTCAATTGATCCACTTGAACAAAGGAAATTAAAAAAAAAAAAAAAACACTATGCTCTATTGTTCTAAATTTATATCGAAAATAGAATTTTTCAAAAATTGCCTGGTTACCAAAAATCCGTGAGAAATAAAATGGCGTTTTATCCTTCTGTGATGACATCGTTTAACAATGTATATCTCTTGTTGTGCTTTCTGATGTGGATCCCGTTCTGTAGAAGTCTCGAAGGACAAAATGTCTGTAAAAGAGTTAAAGAGTAAGTGGTTTCATATTTCACTGATCGACAAATGTATAAAAACAGAACAATGTGGTATGATTGGAAATTAGAAAACTCTCCTCCAGAGACAAATTACGTAGAAGTTAGCAACTATTTAATATGGTATATGTATAGATTATTTTACAACTGGAATAATTCTGAATTGGTCCGTGTGGTCAATATATATCTGTCATTGTGCGGCTGAAAAAGAAAAAAGGTAAATAACTTAGGCACCGGAAAACAAGTGGATTGTGTCCGAAATTTAGGTCACGTACCATCCAATCCGAACAATTATTTATCGGGTTTCTAAATTCTCAAACACGTGAAGTTCTGTGATTACTTTACTTGAACATATAGGACATGCCTGCATATTTGAAAAATCATAGATGCACTGGTATTATTGTATGAGCATAAATTGGTAATTTTGACTTTCTATCTTTATAGTGGTGGTTGTTTTTATGTGCTTCGTTCAGATCTGATGAGTCAATCCTTTTCCAACTGATTGTTACAGTTTGTTCTATTGTTGTACTTTTACACCGATGTCCCAAGTTAGGGGTAGGGTGAGAAACTCACCATATTTTCAAAGAACTTGTCCCAAGTCAGCAAATTGTATTGACGTGGTTGTTGTTCATTGCTTTCTATCATATTTGTCTTTCGTTTTTACATAAACCAGGCCGTTGATATTTTAGTTTAAATTGTTTTCCATTTTTTTTTATGTCGAGGCCTGTTATATCTTGCTTTACGGTATGGGTTTTGTTCATTATTGAAGGGCGGCGATGACACAAAGCTGCTTACATCCACGTCATCTGGTCTCTGGTGGATAGTTGTCTCATTGCAATCATACCACATCTTATTTGTATACGATTCCTAAACGAAAGAAGTCGGTAGACCAATGAGTCAAGAAGATGTGTGATAACATGTAGATTCTATAACACTTTCATTTGTTAAATATACTTCATAGATTAGACACGTGTCTGTTTTTAAATACCGGATATTCACCTCTTAGACTACTAATGAATAAGATGAGGTTTTATGTACACATAAACACTAAACTTAAAGTTTTTCAACTTACGGTGTATATAATTTATCAAACCTTCTATAGCCCACTCTCTCTTTCTCTCAAAAAAAAAAAAAAAAAAAGACACAGTGACCCAAATAATTGATAAAAAAAGATACCAGTTTCTGTAATGCAATGAAAACCAGTTGTATTTTCTGTTGTTGTTGGATTGCTGTTTTTAAGATTTATTTCTAAAATTTTATTTTTAAAAATTACTCACTTTAAAATTAGGACAGGCCAATATAATCAGTTTGCTCTAAACCGAATACGAAATATAATCTTAACTCCTATACATTTCTAGGAATATGATTGGTTAAAAGCAACCGCGTGGAGACCGTGTATATTCCATATTGGGTTAGTAGGCGGGGCTTATTTCATTACACGGTTATAGTAGTGGTGTTACGTCCCTTTATTAAAACAACACGGTGTTGAGGAACAATCTTAAAGGTTTCAACAGACGAAGAAATTGATGATGAACTATTGAAATAAATTCATAAACACACATTTAAAGCTAACAAGTTGTTATAGTTGGCATTTGTTTTTGTATAGACCAGTGGAAATATAGGTTCTTAATACTAACGATATTGAAGACTTGATCACTTTGATAGGCCTCTAGTCTAAATACCACATGTTAAGATAGTCGGTAAGATAAATTCGTAACATAGTGTGCTAGTGACCTAATACGATATATATGGGGTCAGTAAATTCCATATATATCGTATTAGGTCAGTAGCACACTATGCACAACTAATAAGATTATACGATATATAATGTAATACATTGTAATGTTGTATAATTATTTGTCTCATATATATTATAATTCAGGGCAACAGATGCAAAAAATAGAAAAGTAGATATCATAGAGTTTTTCTGTTGTGCTGGATATAAAGCTGCAAATAACAAATGTGTTGGTAAGCATTTTGTATCTTATTTTTTGTTGAGGTCTACTAAACAAATACAGATAGAACATTACTTTAAAACAGACATCTATAAAGCTCCTTGAACGTCAAGCGATTGCTGTTAAGTACATCAAAGATCATGCGCCATACATGCAAATGAAATGTTTTGATAATAAATAATTAAGAAATTAATAAATTAAAAAAAAAAAATCAATCAATCAATAAATTAATAGATCAAATATATAGATACATCAAATGAATAAATACATAAAATTGAATTTGAATATACTTGATATATTCATGCAATGATAACGTGTTTACGAACGCATAGAATTTAATTATAAATGAAAAAAATAAACTGCAAAAATGTAGGAAATACAGAAAATAAATCGATTCACTCAGGAAATCAATCTTTCATTATACTTCTTTATGGCTTTTATAGTTGAGATGTTTTCTCTAATAAAGTCACAAGTAGAAAAGATGATAACAGTCCTAGTTTAGCTACAAAATAATCACCAGACTCAAGACAGCGAATAATAAGGTGTATCAAGCTAGCGAACAATTAGCCAACGAACAATAAGAAATACGCAACAAACTGATCACGCCTAAAAACCGAAGACTTATATTAACATAAAACGTCATTTGAAATCTGATGACAATCATTTCCAGTAGAAAGACGAAATGCTACACATTTTCACAAAGACAAAATTGATTTTTTATTTATATATATATTTAAAACAACATAATTTTTCTTAAAAGCCGAGCATCTCTTATAGGATTTTCAAAATTATTTTAGCTACTCCTCTCCCTTTTGACTACCCCTTATTACAAACTGCTTGTCTTTATAATAATGAAAAACATAATACAAGTAGACCATACTTATCTTGTGTAAAGATGAAATTAAATCTACATGATGATACATACCGTTTTTTTTTAACGTCAAGTACAGAATTTTGCATCCAGAATTATAAGTTGAAGTAAAAGCTAATAAATATCCACAGTTTTCGTTTTGGTTCGATTGAACACTTGCAATTTATTCATCACATTTCAATAGGAAATGTGTTTTATATGACAGTGAGACCCAAGTAGCATGAACTATGAATTGATATGAAGATTTTAGCTAATTTAACCGACAAAATGATCAAATCCAAGATTATTACAGCTTTTCAAAAAAGGCAAGTCCCTTGCACTGATTCGAATTAACAAGAAAAGGGTGGAATCACAACAATACGAAGTATTTCAGTTTAACATTTATTTAGAACAATAATCGGGGAACGGTTCAAAGGTGGGGTATGGTGACCCTACCCCCTCCCAACTTTAATTCATTAAAAAGTCCCTACGGCAAAGCTTTTGTCCACACTAGGTACAAATGATAGGCAAATGCCTAAGGTTTCCTGGATCTAAAGACCGAGGTGGGTAAAGTTACGGATCGTCTACAACCGATGTCCAAAGTTGGGGTATGGTGACCATACCCCCTTCCCAACTTTAATTCATAAAAATGTCCCTACGGCAAAGCTTTTGTCCACACTTGGAACAAATGATAGGAAAATGCCTAAGTTTGCCTGGAACCAAAGACTCAGGTGGGTAAAGTTACGGAATGTCTACAACTGAGGTCCAAAGTTTGGGTATGGTGACCCTACCCCCTCCCAACTTTAATTCATAAAAAAGTCCCTACGGCAAAGCTTTTGTCCACACTAGGTACAAATGATTTTCTTTTCTTTTCAAACGCATATATAAGCTAGAAGATTAAATCTTATCGTTACGCTAGTTTAGTATGAACTATTGTTATTAATTGTTTCATTATTATAAAGACGCCAAACCCATCTCTAATCAGAGAACACTAAAAAGAGAAGGAATTTTAGATGCCCGGCTTTAAAAAAAAAGTTGTATTAAATAAACAGATAACTAATAAATTTTGTCTTTTGTGAAAACGAATTGCATTTCGTCTTCCTACTGGAAATGATTGTCATCAAATTTCAAAGGACGCTTCATCTTATTGCAAGTCTTCGGTTGTTAAGCATGATCAGGTTGGCGCGTTTTTTTTATTGTACCCTGGCTTGTTGTTCGCTAGCTTGATGCATCTTATTGTTCGCTGGCTTATTGTTCGCTAGCTTGAGTATGGTAAAATAATCTATACAATCCTTCAGAAAGACTGGTTAAATTTTGGTCAAATGAATATGAAAATAAAATGAAGCATTAGTGCATATCATTATAACCTAAGTTTGAATTCATTTTCATGAAATAATTATCAGGTGCAATGCCAAAAATATCAGTAAAAATTAAAAAAAGAGTGTTTAATGAAGAAGAGAAATATGAGAATCTGCCTTACATATCTTGTTGCCCCGTAACAAGCTGAGAAAGGATATTGCTCAAATCGTTATAACATTTATAGGAAAATACTTAAAGTTGGGCCAAGCTTTTGGAGTTCGTCCCTCAAATTCCTGAATTCCTGAAATTTTTTTCAAAGAGCGAAGTTAAATGTCATATATTTTTCTAACTTTATATCGAATATCTTTGCAGAATGCAGCGACTGTACTCATATAGACTGTCCACCAGGATTCTGTGGAGAAGGATGTTTGAAGCAATGTGAATGTACAATAAATGCTCATTGTCATCCTGAACAATGTTGTGTGTGTAACAAAGGTTTCTATGGACAATCATGTGACAAACGTTAGTTGTTTTTCAATGCATTGCTTAAGTGTTTTATTTTTTTAAGAACAAGTAATTGTCTTATTCACTGTATTTTGAAATAAACAACTCCGCATTACCGATACCAGGCACGTACTTTAGAACCCTCGATGCGAGCTTTGTCTGCATAAAATTTATAGGTGGCGCTCGAATCAAAATAGTCGGAAGACGAATGCCAAGTTAAAAAGCATTAAAAAGAAAAAATGCCAGAGGTGGTTAAGGCTTTATTTGCATTCTATGTAAATTCGCTCATCAAATTAAACATCTTTGGGAATTAGGATTATTTACTACAAACTAAAACCTGCAATGAATACATTTATTAATGTAACTGAAAATTTGCAAATGGCGAAGAAAAAAAGTGACTAAAACTATCAAATAATATGAATATAGCGATAAAGAAAATCAAACGTTTCTTAAAGATAAAAAAAAACATGTGGTAAAAGTAGATATGGCAACAACCCAATGACACAAGTGACAAATTATATTTAGTAACATAGTAATATTATTTTAAACATAATTATTCTATTCTGTACGCTTCTGACTGTTTACAGCTTGTGTGGGTGGAACTCATGGCGAGGGTTGTATGCACACTTGTTTGTGCTCAAAGCATTCTACATGTGACCGGTTTACGGGAAAATGTATATGTTTTGATGGATGGACAGGAGATACGTGTACAGAAGGTATTTATAAGTTTCATGACTGAATGCCTTGGGGGCTTTTCGTTTTATTTGCTGATTCAACTTTTTGGTATTCAGAATTTTTTAGATCATGGAAGACAGAGTATAGTAATATTGAAATTAGATAACTGAAAACGCTATTCGATGCAAAATCATAAAAAATAATTTCTATCGGATAAAACACCTTCGGTCAGTTTCCGCAAATACAAGATACACAAGTATGCATTTTTTTTAACGCTCAATGATATTTATTTAATACCGTTTTCAATTAATGGCGATAGTTTATGACACCTATGAAAAATAAAAGGAATGTTGTCTCTGACTGAGATCTTTTTTTAATTTTGTTTCCTTGTTTCGTTGTATATTTGTATTGTTGATTTTTTTTTATTCAATCACCAGCAATGACAATGCGTTCTTGGTAAAACAATAATAGCAAGCCGGCATTCTCACGACATATGTCTTCTCCTTTTTCTCTTTTCAAGTATGTGGTCATCTTGTTGATTACTTAAATGTGCATTTTTTTTATTGTGTTTTACTTATAAATATGTTCATAGTGTTTTCTCACGTTACCTGGAAGTTTGTTAGCGATAATAATCGAAAACCATTACAATATTTGCAACTTGACACGTAGATTTTGTTTTTTTACAGAAGGTTATTCGAATGTTACATGCTCACAAAACTGTAATTGTCGAGATACAAGATGTTCCAATAATTCAAGTGATTGTGAATGTCATTTAGGCAACTTAACAACAGCAGAGCCTGGAACAGTATCAGGTATATCTGTACATAGGCGGCCTCTTTTTAATGGAATATAAACATATTATTGACATTATTATGTATCCATAATCTTTATCAATTCCAGAAAATCTGGCATTCATAATGCGTGAGACTTTATCCAATAATCATCGGCAAACATGCACTGATGATTCCCAGACATGAATAGGGATATATTTATTAGTGTAAGATAAAATTCAGTGTATTTAAGAAAAAAGGCTACAGCTTAATCAATTTCTCCGATTTGATATAATCGCACAGTAAATTCATATCAACATAGAATAACTTGTATTTTAGTTTTTTTTTTACGATATTGTCTTTCGGTTATTGATCTTTAATCTTTTATTGCCTTAACGGTAAAGCATGACACATTAATACTTGGCCATGGTTATCTTAAATAATATGTTAATGTTACAATCATGACAAAACAAGTTCATTTTATGGACATTCAAATTCAGAATATATTACGATAAACATAATTTAAAAAATTACTGAGAATTGAAATTTTCAGTTCGACCTTAATAAATTGCTCTCAGACTTATTCACGCATCAGAAAAGTTAACCAGCTCTGATTACGTAGTTACGTTTCATATAAACTACACGCCTAATGATTAAATATCCCGTCTAATTTGGAATATTCAACTCAGAGTTTTTTCGGTCAGTCATTATACAAACAGACCCCCCCCAAACTTATTCCTGTGTATGATTATACTTTCTGTTAATAAATAAAGAAAGTAGTTAAAGAAACTAAGTTTCGAACTCCTGCGCGCAAAGTTGACCTTAGATAAATTTAGCTATTTTAAGGTCCCTTTTGGTCAAATAGCTCTTCACATGTTTAGGTATTATACACCCTTGGTTTTCAAAGTGTTTCTGATGAAAGTAAATTCAGAAAAGCGCTTTGGACACGAGAAGTTAATTGGTGGGTGTTATTTTCATTTATCAAGAAGAGATAGTAAAATAGCAAATTCTATAATCCACAACTCGCCTAACAAAATTTTGAAATAAAACTTATTATAATCAGCAAAACCTATTAGAATCAAGCAGTATAGTGGTAGAAACTATGATATATAACATTGCATAACATACCACAATTTGTGATGCAAAAGAGGGACGAAAGATACCAGAGGGACTGTCAAACTCATAGATCGAAAACAAACTGACAACGCCATGGCCAAAAATAAAAAAAAACCAAACAGACAAATAATAGTACAGATGACACAACATAGAAAACCAAAGACTAAGCAACACGAACCCCAACCTCGTAGATATTGATTTGTTACATAAACATAGATATAGATTACAATCAAAGTAAACTAGGTCACTGCGTGTTACAAAGACAAAAGTATTTGCATATTAGCTGATTACAATATATATTGTAACATGTGTAAGAAAAAGACGATATATTACCTTTTTTTCAAGAAACTGATCTTTGAAGCTTGTATGTGTATGTAGCCCTTTGTTTAATTACAGATACAGAAACTCGTCCTCATGCAACGGAAATCTTCAGTTTAATCGTAATTGCTACAATCGTATCTTGCTTATTGATAATCATCTTAGCTTTTATATCGGTAGTAATATTTATGTCAAGGAATGGTAGAACGAAGTTCCGAATAGTTGAAGCTACAACTACAGATGCGACTGGCCATTATGACGAAATACATCCTTATGACGAAATTCCAGAGGAACAACTTGAACAACTTGAACAAGTTGAACAACTTGAACGCATTCGAGAACCCTATTATTCAACACCATTGGATGTCGTCAAACTCAAGCGAACACACTCATTACCATACATAAAACCTAACAGAATAAGAGACGCACACATTGTCAGTATACCTGAGAATAAATATCCGAATGGATCTCCGAAAATGCACAAATATCTTTCATTACCAAACCTTTGCAACAAGGATATAATGAAGGCTCCATACATTGAGTTGAACATGTTAAAAGAAGTGAGACATTATAACAAGTTGAAACAGCATTCACACTATCCTACAGGAAGTGGCTATCGTCATCCCTATAATAGCTTACTGCGACCAGGGATCATCGGAAGTGGATATCTTCATCCTTATACTGCACTTAAAAAGAAAACAGAACACACAGGAACAAGTTTTGATTCAAAAACATGCGTCGAACGACCAGTCAGTGGCAAAAATAAATCAAATACGTCTGTTAATAGATCAATCAGTGACGAAAATAAATCTATTTCGTCTAATTATAGACCAGTCAGTGGCGACAATAAATCAAATACGTCTGTTAATAGACTAGTAAGTGGCGACAATAAATCAAATACGTCTGTTAATAGACCAATCAGTGAAGAAAATAAATCTATTTCCTCTATTTATAGACCAGTCAGTGGCTACAATATATCGAATACGTCTGTTAATAGACTAGTAAGTGGCGACAATAAATCAAATACGTCTATTAATAGACCAGTCAGTGGCGATAATGAATCAGTCAAAAGACTAGTCAATGACGAGAATGAATCCGTCAAAAGACCAATCAGTGACGACAATAAAACCAATAACGTCAGTCATTAACATACAGGGCATTGTCAAATAAAATAATATTATTAATTTGTTGCAGTTTTGATAATTTTTTCTAGTATATGCATTCTTGTGACACCCAACCGGTGTCCTTGGACACCGACATTTCATTCTGAAAAATTGTACGCAATTTTCGGTAATATATATATATATATATATAATAAACCTTTCTCATCAGGAATCTTAAAACTTATTGAAGGCACATATGTATAATAAGTGGTATGATAATTCGAAAAGCTCAGGTTTTTAGTCAACTGTGATACATATTGACATAAAGCTTTAAAAGTGAGTCGAAAGATACCAGAGGGACAGTCAAACTCATAGATCGAAAACAAACTGAAAACATGCCTTTAACATTACCAATGGCAGTAAGAACTCACTGGTTAAGGCGTAACATCTTTCAAGGGAATTATTTAACACTTAGGAAAAACGAGTCCGGCATATCGTAGAAACTTTAATATGTTTAAGACATATATTTCATATGCAGGTGCTCGTTGGATGTTGCGAATTAACACTCAGTTAACAATAACATTAATCTATTATAGTACATTTCTCTAAGAATTGGTAGTGCCAGTCCCGATATGCAAGTCAGTATAAGAAGCAGACCGCTCGGTTATTTCAAAATGAAAACAATTCTTTAATTTTATATAATTTATATGTTTTATGATCCGTTGTTTATATCTTTATAATCACATGTTTTGGCGTTTTAGCCTAAATAACTCTAATCATATGCTAACATCCTCGTGCCTTGGTCTCTAGGGCTAGCTTTGTCATTTGGAATCATACCACATCTTCTCGTTTTTTAAATTGCACATTACAGTCTTTCTGTTTGTAAACTGAACCAGTACAAATGAGGTAGACGATAATCAAGAGATAATCAGCAAATATAAGTAGGAAAAAAAACACAATATTATTATAAAAAAAAAAAAAACGACGAAAAGGCAAACAGCAGTCCACAAAACACTGATTAGAAAACTAAAGAGTCTGCAACACGAACCCACCAAACACTGGGGTGATCTCAGATGCTACGGAAGGGTAAGCAGATCCTGCTTGACTTGTTGCACCTGTCGTGTTGCTGGATCATTGCAATTAAATAGAGGCAACATTAGTTAATTGCTGTTCAAATCTCAGAAACCTAATATTAGGTCAGATTATGATAACAAACAAAAACATAGTGATTAGAATGAACTCCAAAGGACTTAGACTGGTTTCATCGATAGACAACACATCTCCGGTTATTCATGCATCACCACTATGTGAATAGTAAGAGCATGGACATAATGCACTATTTAATGCTGCAACCGGTCTGAATAAAGTGTCATTGGGATAATATATTCGACAGAAAATAACTAAATTTTAAATATAATCTAAAACAAATGACCGTCCCGTTGTAGTGCAATCTCTTCCGATCCCCCTTGTCTCAAAAGTCTCATACAATGTAGTAGCATGGTCAATACGGTTGGGGGATGTATGCCTATATTCCAGGGATATTATATTCATCTACATAAAACTCGCAAGTGACAGTCGAATGAAAAAAGTTGCAAAACAAGAGATTTAAAGCAGGAAAAGTATTCAAACTAAAGACGTTTTAATTTTCAAATGCTTTTCGGCAAGGCAAGTGATATATAGAATTAAGAACAATGTTGTCAGCTTGGATTTAGATAATGTTCAAAATGGACGATGTGATTTCATTCGAAGCGTGTATTTCTAGTTGAACGATTGGTACATATTCATACGGCTATGTCATGTTTACGTTCAAAATGGTGTTTTCATATCTCCCGTCGAATGGTAAACACCAATTCATCAACGTGTCATACACATTTTCATGCATATATCTTATTATGACAATCAAGTGGGTTTCTTAACAAAAGTTAAAAAATAGAAAACATCTTAGAAAGACAACCATATTGACAAGCATTCATAATTCATTGTTTCCTGAAAATTGGAAATACACTTCCCCTTGTGCCTAGAGTTTGAATCATACTTTATTAATAGTTTTTAATGCAGTTATACAATTATCAATGTCAAACAACAGTTAAAAAATATGAAACATATATGCGGAATAATACCGTTTGTGGCGTCAATTTTAAGTTCTTTAAGTGTGGAATGTCTATTATTGGACGGTCCAGGTGTTTGCATCAGACAACAAATGTCAAAAATGTAAGTGTTATTGTGTATTATCATATTTTTCAATTTAGATATTAAATTTTCCTCTGTAACAATACAAAATTAACATAAGGATATTTTTTTTGTACTTTCTGCTCATTGTATGTAATCATTAGGTTAAAAAATAGCATTCACTGAAAGTCATAATTGAAGAAAAGAGGACATAAATGTGGCTATGACAGTGAACCTTTCAATGATAACTGTGACACATATATTCCATTGACAGTTAACATAATCATGATAATTTAAATACATTAAAGCAACAAATGAGTATGGTATATGCCGTTTCATTGCTGAAACTTCAAACAAGATTTCAACATATCGAATATTGAAGCATCAGTATAAAAACGCCTAAGAGGTCATTTTTGTACAGTAAAAATAATGTAAAAAATCTGTTATGTTCTTAAGTAGGACATTGTGTTTTAACTATGTCAACACATAAATTACATAATCTAATCACAAAGGCGGTTCGTATCGACTTTTTTAACTATGTTTTAAAAAACTAGACAGAACAAAGACGATGATAAACTATTCTTGACGTGTCACTGACTGATTTCAGGACAAATACAGTGCAAAATGAGACATTTTTCTGCTGTGGTGGTTATAAAGAAGTAAATGACACCTGTGTTGGTAAGTATTAAAAACTAACCAAAGATACCAGGCTTATAATTGCTACCCCAGCAATAGATTACCTCAGCTGTATGTGGCAAAACCTTTTGGAATTTTGGATCCTCAATGCTCTTCAACTTCGTACTTTATTTGTTTTTTTTTTACATTTTTTGATTCGAGCATCACTGATGAGTCTTTTGTAGACGAAACTTGACTCTGGTAATCCTGGTATCTATGATGAGTTTAATTGATTCACCAGACGCGTGTTTTGTCTATACATCAGTGGTGGTCAAATCTGATTAGCTGGAAAGCAAAGTCAAGTACACAGTTTGACAGCACTGAAGACTAAAACATCCGAAAGGTGCGCAAATATAATAAAACTAAATAGGAGCATGGGGTTACTTAAATGAAGGATACTCATAAAGTTTAACTCTAGTGATGAAATCAATTAGAATTTTACATAGTTTTCCTGAAAGATAATATCCTTCATTTTAAAATATCTAAAATTGTCGTTTGTTTTCATTACAATATGGAGCATTTGTCTTGCTTTTTATGGTAAACAATCTGTTTTGTAAGAAAGAAACTCATGAATACAATTGTCAAGTGAAAACATAAGGACATTAAGTGTCACATAGTTAGAGACATTATAATAGTATGCTGACTCATCGTTAAGCCTGACAATGTGCTATCCTTAATTTACTTGACGTGTCTTTTTTTCTGCAGATTGTCCTGAGTGTTCATCTATGAGGTGCCCGCAGAATTTTTGTGGTGATACATGTATAGAGATGTGTGATTGTCCCGAAAATGCATACTGTGATAGCCTTTATTGCTGTGTTTGTAAACCTGGTTTCATTGGATTTTTCTGTAATAAAAGTATGTATTTTTTTTACAAATTTGAAAATATGTTTATCTACAGACTTATTCTATTTCAATCTAATGGATTTCTTTTTACTTTCTTTTTGGAACTTGCATATTAAAGCGTTTTTATCATATAATTGAAACGTACTGCATTAAAGAAACTTTATCCAGTGCTATATGATGCCATTGATAGCATGTTGATACATTATTGCAAATTGAACATGGTTTTGTTTAATTTGTACCAAAAGACTTCTTTAGCCAAAATGAAATAATATGTATCCAATAGACCATATGTAGCTCAATTTCAAAATAAGTTTGGTTTTGGTTAAGAATGTCCTTCTTACACATTTTTAATAAGTACTCAATATTTACCAACATATTGCGGTTTTTAGCCACCATCTTTTACAGGCGTTTAAAGTTGGTTATCTGTTAGGAATAAGCCATAAAAATATTTGTTTCCCAAGGTATACGTACACACATGCGGCTATGCAACTGTGAATTTAAGCAAAAATTTAAAACAATCCTAGTTTGAGGAAAATTCAGGGTAAATTGGCCCTACCTCTTCAGAAAGAAATATTATTTAAATCATGCCTAAACAACCACTCTGTCTTTGAATCCCATGTGCGATTACCAGATCACAATCTATAGCCTCGAGTACATCAAGTATTCCAAAATTTTACATAGAAGCAAATAGAAAAGTACCGAATTATATAATGTGCAAACTGGTAGTAAACAAATTTGACATTAGACCATGGAATTGAAACTGATGTGAAATGAATTAAAAAGCAAGTTGATCACCAGAGACACTACCAAAAGCTATTTAAAACGGTTACCACAGATGTCTGCCGTTATAAATGCAGTTGTTCTTCATTATTAACTTGCTAGAGTCATAACTTGTATTTGAAGAGAAAAATAGTACTTTGATGAATTAATTTTGTATTTGATTTAGCATGTTTTACTGGATCTTATGGTCCTGGATGTAGAAAAAAAATGCATCTGCCAAAGCCAGCAGATGTGTGACCCGGTAACAGGTAGCTGTACCCCGAACAGTAGAGGTAAATACTAATCAGTTTAAGTTGTGGTAGCCCGGATTTGAATGTCTAAATGTTTTTGCTTGCAATGAAACTTAAGTTGAATGAAAAGTTTTATCATAACCATAATTCTGTTTTGTATTGCACGCGCTTACCAGTTTATATCAACACAGTGTTTGCCATTTGTTCAGCAATTATACAATTTTCAACAGATTGGTTAATATAACAAAAAATCATACTAGGTTCATAAATCTGCGTTTAACAATATCATAGAGGAAACACAATAAATAAGAAAATGTAAAAGCTCTATCAGTTTTCAATTTGAACGAGGGAAACAAATATGAGAGATGCTTTTGTAAATCTTGTTCTTTTGGTATTTATTTCAGCCACTTTTGTAATTTCTATCAAATATAATAGCTCTTTTCCATCACGGAAAACACAATAAGAGGACCCTGTTTGTACATTCTATTTTCCCCATGGAACAAAATAAAAATAAAATCAGAAAAACTTCCATAATTTACATGTGTACACACACTACAGAGTTACATAAATTAGAGGCACCAACAGTGTACTGATGTTCAAATCTCATAAATCCATTAAGAAGATACAAGTCAAGATGAAAAATAGAAACTACCTTAAACTCGTAAAAGATTTCATATTTTTAAAGAATTGTATACTGAAGTATTATCATTGAATCTGTTTATTGTATAGTCGGCTTTAACATCGCAGGCATCGTAGTACTAATAGTCATTGATATCAAAAATCATTGCGTTGATTTATTAGAAATCGAAAATGCCTTTAATTGAACGTGTGGCTCTAAACAATAGAATAACGAAGGTAAACAATGAGAAGTAATGAATACTCACAACACCAGTTTAACACAATACAAGTTACTGTTTGTATTTAGGTAGTCAATTTCATTTTTTTTATTTTTAAAGTGAATTTTGATGTTATCAACCTTTATTCTACTTTTAAATTTTTAGCGGCATTTCCATGCATAGGGAAATACAAGTTTGACATTTGGTGAAAACACTTTTTTTTTCATAAACCATTGCCCTTATATTTTATTTGGTGCTTAAACGGTGACCATTTAATGTAGACACCAAGTCTTCATTTATTCAGATACATAGGGATCTCCTAAACTCCTATTATTTGAATCACGCGTCAAAATTATACTTTGAAAAACAAATATTTTCGTTAAAAGTATAAATGTGTTGCTGAAAATTTAACAATACTATTGTTGAATACATTTATTCATTTTCTTAGCATGTGAAGATGGATATTATGGACAAGAATGTAGCAACAAATGTATGTGTCAGAGGGAGCAGCAGTGTGATCAAGTCACAGGCAACTGTACTTCAAATGTGTACAAACCTGGTAAGCCTCTGGTTGACCAGACTGTAATGCATTATTTCTGAACAATAAATGGTTATCAATATAAATTTTTGAGTAATGTCACATTGAGGCCAAACCATGCAATTATGTTTTGCTGGTATTTTATTTTGTGTAAAAATTGGATATTCTAAATGAAATCTGATTGATAATCATGTCATGTCAACACTTCATATTTTATAGTTCTCATTCGGTCATGTTTTACATTTACATAATGTTTATGTACTGTTCGGTTATATATTAAATAATATAAGTCTTGAAATTAGACAAGGGATATCTTTCAAACCGTCCCTATATAAAGACTTATCAGCGACTAAGCAATACAAGATTTTAACATGGGATAAGCTACGGATGTCATCGACGGAGCAGAAATTACGACTCCGTTCATTGCATACCATTTATCTTATTTAGGTACGCGCTGATCTGTTTAGTGTATTGTCGACTGTTTTTTTTTCCGTCTCTTTCTGCATGTAAGTCATATCCTAGTCTATGGCCTAAAATATGTTGGAATTTGCCAAAACAATTGTGTTTGATGCAACATACACGTTTTTCGTTTGTGATTTTTTTGTTTCCAAATGAAACATAATTCGTTTGAAAATAAAGCTTATTACTACCTTTATACCTAACTATGGCTTTATTAATTATTTTTAAGCAATCTTTGATTTCAATATATTTTGTAATTATAAATTAAGCAACAGTGTCAGGATAGCACGTAAAAAAACTGGAGAAGCTTTATGAACAGAAAGAACTTTAAACGAATAACATTAACCAAATAAGGGAAATTTTGCCTCGAGGAGCAGGAATGTTAACGTATATTCATATTCGACTATGTTAAATTTCGATTTCATAACTTTCTATGGAATTGGGTTTGTAAAACAACACCTTAGAACATTCGCTAAGCATCTAATTTGGGTTCACAAAATGTTGAGCTTTTTTTGCCTAACGGAAGATTGTTTAAGTACAACTACTATTTAGGTATTTTTGGAACCATTGCTCGTACTGTTTTAAACATACAGACTATTACTTTCAGTAAACAACATTGTATACTGAGAATATCATAAACACCTTTGTGAAAAATAGGTGATTTTCAGATTTATATTAAATCTAATTATGGTGTCAGTAGAACATGTTTTGCTTAATCTGTAAAATGCAAAATAATATGATCACAATGAAAAAACTGTGAAACTGTTGATGAAATAGTTATAAAAAGTTCTGAATCACTTTCTAACTAATTGAAAAAGCCTTTTAGAAAACAAGAAGGCTATTTCGATCGTGTAATATCAATTTGATCTTAAATACTTTAATACATTGTAGGAAACCAACCTCAAAAGACAGAAGTATTCAAATTAATCGTAATTACTGTAATACTAGTGGCCATCGTGATTATAATTTCAGCATGAATATCAGTAGTAATAACTATTTTGAGGAATTGCAAAGAGAAATACAGAACAACAGAACCAGTGGGCTACTTTGGTGAAATAAATCCTCATGATGAAATTAGTCTTGAAGAGTTTGAAACACAGCAAGAACCGTTATATTCCACGCCATCATATGCTAACGGTGTTATGCGCCCGCGACAATCAACAGAGCGCAATGGCATAATGGAGACAACGAATATCACTGATGCTCATGCGAGATCTCATCCAGATAGAGGTTGTAAAATCCACAAGTATAGGTCCTTGCCAATCCTTAGCAGCATGCACAGATCACTTGAACAAGATAACAAGCTGAAAAGGTTCAACACAAGTAGTTGTGATCAATTAACACGGCAAACTCTCTATATAACTGAAAGTGATTACCTTAATCCTTATTGTAGTTTACTACGATCAGAAGTTAGTGGGAGTGATTATCTTAATCCATATACTACACTTCTAACGACAACCGACGAAGGAAATATCTATGAAAATTAAAGAAAAGGAGCCGGTAGACTAGCTATTATATAACCTAGTCTGTTTATAGCATTTACGAAAATGAAAGTCAGCAAATCATCAATTCATCAAAAATATCTATCTATCATATTATAAATCTTAAAAATATTGCCTACAAAAAACGATTAAGAATGGGAAATTAAAGATCGATTGTTCAGCGAACAATTGAATGTCTTTCCATTTTTCTAAAACAAAGATGCACATTAGTTTATTTTGTATTTAATAATAAAAAAATTGTGTCAGAAGATAGATTAGCTTACAGTTATTCAAAAAATATATAGTTTAGTGTCACCTGTGGAGCAGGATCTGTTTATCACACCAGAGCACCTGAGATCACCACCGGTTTTTGGTGGGGTTCGCCTTGCCAAATTTTAGTTTTTATTATTGTGTTCTGTATACTGTTGTTTGTCGTTTGGTCGTATTTAGTATTTAACCATGACCTTGTCTGTTTGTTATGGACTTTTGATTATCCCTTTGGTATCTTTCCCCTCTAGTTTTTCTTTATAAATTGAAGGAGATAACTAGACACTTCTGGTGTTAATTAACAGCTTACTCAACAGTGATTTTAAAAATATCTTTTGATTGAAGAGGATGTTCCGGTTCATTGTTCGAAAATTTCACTACTATCATTCGCTCAAAAATAAATGGATGTAATGAGGCATGAAGGATAATTTATATTTAAGTAAAGGTAACCATATTTTGTTTACCCTTCTGGACCATCTGAAGTCACCAATGGTGATGTTCGTGCTCCGCAGTCTTTAGTTTTCTATTTTGTGTTTATTGGACAGTTGTTTGTCTTTTTGTCCTTTTTTGCCATGTCATTGCCAGTTTGTCCCCAACTTATGAGTTTGAACGTCCCTTTGATATCCTCCCCCATTCATTTCGTATATGTATGTAAACAGACCACGTTTAACCCATCGAAGCAACAAAAAAAAAAAACAAACCCGAAAATATGAAAAAGCCAATATGAAGCATTCCACACACAATCGAAGACAAAAGGAGGGAGAATATACCAATAGGGTATTCACAAATTCACCACTGTCTGTTAGTAAGTCAAGCTCTAAAAGTCTAGACAGATATTAAACAACTTAATAGCGACAAAGATCTCCATTCTACACCACATAAAAACTGCTATTTCTCGTCCATTTATTTGGATATATTAACAAATTTATTCCTAAATATTCTGATTTAATTGCTGTGAAAAACAAATATGGATATATATATAGTGACATATACGATAAACATGAAGTGTAGATCCTCCCTTCTGCTGGCGTTAACACAGCTATATTTATTTTTTTTTATTTTTGTTTAACACAAATTAAATACTGTGAAGTTTACAATTACTAAAAAAAAATAATAATGTATTATGCATAAAACTAATTTTAAATGACCTTCGTCTATGCCTTAAGAGGGACTGGGATATGTAAATGAATACTTGCTGGTCACTTAATCCGTCCTTTACAAATATAAAAAAGATGTAGCACTTAGTTTGTCGTGCTTTTAGATAAAGCCTATGTCCACTGGAATTTTGTTTTGTATTTTCCATCCAGAAGAGTTGCGATTCGATTTGCTGCTGGCAAACGAGTAAGCATGATGAGAAAAATACCATCCTTCAGATGTTCACAAAAATATTACTCTGTCAGAAATTCGTTTTAAAATTTGGAATTGTGTCTTAACAATTTGCATTAAGGATTCAAACTTCTTGAATTTTGTTCAAACCTTTAAAAAAAGTAGCCACATTTTGAGATTCTATTATTAATGTTTAGAATTGGGCCAATGCTTTACTCCTCAAATATATTTTGCTGCTAGATTGCAAAGATGTAAGGGTGTTAAAATATTGTTTGGGAAGGACATTGGTTCATGTGTATTTTGTCTAAAAACTACACGTAGCTTTGCCATTTTATGTCAAATATGTCAACTTCAGAGTGTATATGACATCACAATGACACCAACATTGAACTATATGCAATATAATGTAAAGATTATATTAACCTGTTCATTTATCAATAACATAATTGCTATTATTTTGAAAGGCTTGAATAAATGGCCAGAATCGATTTGCGCCAATTAAAGATTTGAAAGATTTGTAAAGGTATCAATTGTGCCAATCTCTATTTTTCTGGTGGTATTAATTGCGACAATAAATGGTATCAAAAGTGCGCCACATTTACCTGTATATTGTTCTACCTATATTATACACGACACACGTGCACGTGCTATAATTAACATATTGACCCTAGATTAAACTGAACACTCATCAAAATTAAAAACACTCACCAATAGATAAATTATTCAGTAATAAAATAGTTTTTCAGATGTAAAGATGTCTGATATATTATTCAAGAAAATAGAGTCTAAAAGAGGGAAACCTATCATTGTGTAAAAGATCACCATGTCCGTCAGGCATGTATTAAGAAAATTGGAGAAATTAGATGGAGATGTACCGCTTTCCACTCTCATTGCAACAAAAAAATTGTATGCTTCACATCCGTCAATGTTTGTGTTGAAGATACTCTCACAAAGGGTCAGGCCACGACATACATTAAAATCTAAAGTGCTGACTCAGAGGCTGAGAGAAGTCGACACGACTCGGAAAAAGAAAATTTTGCTCGATAAAAGTACCAAAAACTAGTGAGAGGAGAAGTGAGTAGAAAGGAATATGTTTCTATTTTAAGTTACAAATACCTGCCTTTGGTTTAATATTGAACAGAGACATATTATAGTTTTAACTTTGTATATATGAGTGAACATTTTAATTCAGCACATTTTTTGTCAATCATTTAGTAGATGTTAATATATTAAGGAAAAATAAACAAATTGATAAAATTTGCACAATTGTTTGAGAGGTTTATTGGCGCTAATGGAAGTTATATAGTTTTCAAAATGAAGAGGCGCAGAAGCAGCATTGGCGCAAAAATGTTGTGGCGCCAATGATTTCATTTTTGTCGCAAATTGATATCGGCCGAATAAATTGACCTTTTTTCAGGAACCAGATAATGGCACTTAATCGCATACCCCAGTAAACCGGGGTCACACATTCACGATTTTTACTGCTGTCCTTGATAAGACCATTCCCGATTAAAATTTGTTAAAAGTCTGATCAAGATCATATGAATCGTGGCTGAAAATTCAAACTTTAATTAAAATTTGTTAAAACATTTATTTAATCATAATAACAATCAGATATTGTTCAGGAAGCGTCACAATTTAGCCGTTTCCATCCGAATATGTCCCGATTATCCCGTTCTCAATCCGATTCTAATCCGATTTGTATCTTTCGCAAAAAAACGACCTAATCTATCCCGACAGCTTCCCGATTCTGCCGAATGCGGTCCGACAGAGATCATACAGTGACCAGACAGTGAACCGACGCTGAAGGAAGATATCCGTTAGAAAACTGTCGCCATATTCGGGACGATCAGGTACTGTCGGAACGCAATCCTATCACAGTCTGCTGTACCGCATTGCAAACGGTTTTGTCTGGACTCAGTCGTATCGTGTTCTGTAATTGTCGGGACTCTGACATTGGTATTATTGCCGAATTTCGTATTAATAACGGCACTGTTCCGGAACAGTTTCGGCAAAGATGGTTCGCATTCGGCAAGATCTGGATGCAATCTGGACTCAATCGGCAAAAAAAAACATCAATGACAAATTTCTTCAGATCATGCCCGTTCAACAGGACACCGTCCAGAAAACACAGAACACAGAACATTGTTACGATTTTGATCCGATACAGCAGAATCTGTCAAGACATAGTCACGACAATTTCCGATCCGTAGGAATCTGTTACGGACGTATACGACTTCGTTCAGACAATGATAGGACATTCCAGATCTTTGAGGATAGTAATCAGACTTTTTCACTTTTCGTGTCTTAGCGCTGTCTGATCTCAAACGGGAGCCATAACCGGCACTGTGTGAACGCCACATTACATCTAACGTTTAACAACTAAGGTTAAGGTTGCATTTCCCAAAGAATAGTGAACTGTGTTGTTGTGCAGTGTAGGGCCTTAAATTTTTGTGCTTTTCAACGGACGCATTTTAAATCGTTCGCTTTCCTAAAGTTTGGTCTCCATATAAAGTAAGATATTCTTTAAACACGTGATGTACAACGGAAATCATACTCTACATTTAAATGATTGTTTCCTGTCAATTGAAAACAAATTTCCTTGTTTTAGAAGTTTTGTATGTTGTTTTACGTCACTTGACATTGTTTATAATTATTGTATTCGGTATTAAAATTAAGAACCATGGTTAAATAAATAACAAAGGTAACGAGAACATTTGATTTGGAATGATAACTTTTTCTGCAGTTTCTGTCATACTCTTTACAAATGCAGTATGTTATTTAGAGGATGGTCCTGGTATTTGCAAAACGGAGGCATTGGCCAGAACGTAAGTGTAATAACTTTTCTATCTCCCAAAATATTGTAAACCAACGTGAAATTTAATAAAAAACATATTAAATACTACGAACATGACGAAGAACCTAGAATTTTTTTTTTATTTGCCTTTTTTGCTGTTGGGTATAGTTTTAGACTACATGTAAAAGTAAAATAACAAAAAATACCGAACCTTAAGGAAAATTCAAAACGGAAAGTCCCTTATGAAATGACAAAATCAAAAGCTCAAACACATCCAACGAATGGAAAACAACTGTCATATTACTGACTTGGTCCAGGTGTTTCCTTATGAAGAAAATGGTGGAATAAACCTGAAATTTAGTTTCACTTCATACAAATGTACTACTTTATATCAAAATCAAAACAAAATATTTTAGACGATTGGTAATATGCAAAATTATGTATTATACTGAACGAAACAACAATACCAGGAAAAAAACATTAATTTGCATATTATCGTAAACCTCAGTACGTCTATCTCTATCTTACAATATAAAAGTATAGGTCCATTTTTAGATTTGAAAAATGAACTTTTCGAGCACTTGAGTTTCGTGTTACTCAATTGGTTAGTTTTGTGAGTAGTGTTTTGTGGACTGTTTATGTGTACGTTATTCTGTTTGTACATGCGTCTAGTTTTCTTCGACTTATAGTTTAGAGTTTGACTAATTTCGCAGACGCTTGTGATTGTATCATTGGAACAAGTATCGTTTTCCTCTATTAAAGATAAACATAA